TTATATGGGCGTAAGGTTATTTCACAGAACCCAAGAGTAAGAATGCAGCTGGGTCTTCAAGGCTGAACCAAACCAAGTGCTCCTTGAGGCTCTAAATATATTTTTCATCTCCTAGATAAACCATATTTCTATATGTTAAACTGAATATTTCAAAGGAAGTCACCAATAATAGGTGCCTTGGGGGCTTCCGTGAGGGTTCAGGGCCCTGGACATTACCGCTCCACTCCTATCAGAACAGCTCTGTTTTTATTTGGTTAATATATCAGGATTCTGCTTAAGAGGTCATTGAGGAAATAGCACAACAGTACCTCCTCTGGCCAGATACTGTGCGAAGAATTACAAAATAAATCACAGACGAGTGGAGAAGATAGGAAAGTAAATACACTCTAAAACAATAAGGGAGTACAGTGACAGAAAAACGCACAGATTATTAAGGGAACTCAAAGAAAGTCTAGTAAACCCAGAAAGGGCTAGGGCTTATGGGAGGTTTCACCGAGTGGGTACCTGGAAAGGGGAGGTAAGGCAGCTCAAAGGACACTTGTTCAATGGAGGGAAGAGGATTCAACAATTATGCAATTCGCTGAGTCGGGGCTATCACTGCGAAAGAACTTGGCTTCGGATCCGCGGTCAAGGCTGGGAGCTATGGAGGCCGGATGTGATTGGCAGACACCTCTGCTCAGGTCTGCGTCAAGTCTTGCTTCGCTCCCATCCCATCCTGCGCCAATGGGGCGCAGTATCCCAACCATTCCACTCGGCTAGCAGGGGATCCTAAGCCTCAAGGTCCGCATCTCCCGCTGGAGGGACTGAGCAGCCGCACTGGTGTCCCAGAATAGATCTTGTTCCCCAGAGGTTGTCAGGTTACCGCAATTCGGCGCAAGCAAGGCGGCCAAAGGGAGGGCGCTCATTGGCTGCCACAGCCCCAGTCCGAGAGGGGGAGGAAGGTTGATTCGTCACAGGCTGTCTGCGCAGGCCACTCCTATCTCCTCTCCAGGTTCTAATTAGGTCAGTGGCCCTACAGCCTCTTGGGTAGTTCGGAAGTGCGTCGCGGAGCCGGCCCTGGAAATATGGCGTCAACTTCAGGTTTTGGTGTGAGGGAGCCGAGGGCCCAGCCAAACCCTGCGGGGGGCAATTCCTGGGTACCCTTCCCACATTTTCGGTCTTTGGGCTGCGCCGTGGTAACCCCAGAGCCTAGTTGCGTGCCCACCGGCGAGAAGTGTCTTTGCATTAGGACATGAAAGGGGACTGGAAAGTGCCGTTTAGTTTCAGGATAGTTTCTGGTTAATTACATTTTCATGGGTTTTCGCAGAGTCTGGGGGCAATTTGTGTCCTTCAGAGACCAGGGACCTGGGCCCAAGCTACGGCAGGGGAGACGCAGCCAAGGCTGTGCGAGCTCGCTTCTTGTGCGAGCTCCATTCGCGTCCGTTCCCGCCTTGCGGCCGTCCCTCCGTCAGCCCAGGTCCTTGAATGAGACAGTGCTCGCCCTTGAAAAAGCAGTTCTAGGTCACTCGGCCTGCTTTTCCAGCATTCCGGGCCCCAGCTCGCCTTCTGCCATCCATGTTGACAGCACCAGTTCTACGACGAAGCGAGCAATTCCTCTTGCCTGGAATTTCACTCGTCCCTGGTATCGAACCCTCTGCCCCAATTTTCTACCTTACAACTCCAGCGTATTTTTAACGGCTCAGCCAATATCACCTCCTTGGTATAAAGCCTGCGCCGTGCTAGCTTAGAAACAGGAGCTGTGCCGTTTTATTATTTTTCTTTATTTTAATTTTGCTTTTATTTTTCATTTTTTAGAGAGGTGGGGTCTCGCTGTGTCGCCCAGGCTAGAGTGCAGTGGCGGTATCATGGCTTACTGCAGGCTGGGGTCAAGCAATCCTCCCGCCTCAGCCTATGGGATTATAGGCGCAGGCCTCTATGCCATTGTAAATGCTGTGGGTTTTGAGTATTTGACCTCTATGAGCCTCAGTTTTTGCATCTTAGCATTGAAATAATACTAATACCTCATAAGGTTATGTGAGGATTAAATGGAAAGCTCTTACAACAAGTGCTTAATAAGTATGTTATCATATGTGCTTCCAAAGTCCTTTGTTGTAGGCCTTTTATAACTCTTGCCCTTTCTATTACCATTATTTGTTCTTGTCTGCCCTACTAGACTGAGATTCTCAAAAGTTGGAACTGTCTTGTTTATAATCTCAGCATCTATCAGTGCTGGGCAAATGTAAAGCTAAGAAATGATTTCTTAGAAAACTTTTTAAAAGCAGTCTTTCTTCTCCTTTCCCTTTCTTCCTTTCCTTCACTTTTTCCTCTTTGACATAGGAATTTTCAAACCTACAGAAGAAGCTGAGACCCTAGGGGGAAAGATTGGGACCTTTTGTTGTTTTTCTCCATGGTGACCAAAAGAGCCTTAACATTCACCCCAGTCTGACAACTTTAGACAGGTTTCTTCTGGACGTTAGGCCCCTGACCTCCCCTTTCTTTGAGTGTTAACTTTAGAAAACTTGTGATTGCAAATTCTTCTGTGCTCCTTTGAAATGTATATAAATCTCCTTAGAAGCTTATGCCAGTTTTACGACCCAGGGAATGTCTTTCTCAAGGACCTGGGAGCCATCCCTTTGAAATGTAATTATCAAGGAAGATAGCACCCCTCTCAGTCTCTGTGGGAGGGTGGGAGCCTAACCTGTGGGTGCCTTGTTTGGAATTGTAAAACTACAGCTTGTTTTGAAGATACAAGAAAGTTTCCTTTTCCTTTGCAATTAGCAAACATAGAGGTCATGTGATTTCCCCCATAGCAGCTCTTGAAAACTTCCCAGACCTTTGTTTCAGTAGCATTGAGTTTAATCTCATATTGCAGTAGTCTTAAGGTCTTTCTTGCCTGTTTAACTTTGATGCAAATTTTGACAATGGAAATTTTAGGTTCTGCATTTATTGTTTCTTCCCAATTACAGTGATTTCTCCTTTCTCCTTGTTAAGAAGAGCTTCTTACATCCTCTGATTTCTAGAGAAATCAATTTGGACTCAAAAGATTGGAGTTTTGTGGAGTGAAGCTACTGTTTTTGTTTTGCTTTGTTTTTTTGTTTTGTTTTGTTTTGTTTTGAGATGGAGTCGCACTCTCTCACCCAGGCTGGAGTGCAGTGGTGGAATCACGGCTCACTGCAGCTTCCGCCTCCTGGGTTCAAGTGATCCTCCCGCCTCAGCCTTTCAAGTAGCTGGAATTACAAGCATATGCCACCACGCCCAGCTAGTTTTTGTGTTACTATTAGAGATGGGGTTTCACCATGTTGACCAGGCTGGTCTTGAACTCCTGGCCTCAAGTAATCTGCCCACCTTGGCCTGCTACAGTGCTGGAATTACAGGCATGAGCCACCACGCCCTGCCAGAAGCTACTGTTTTAAGTCATCATTGCAAAGGGTAATGTGTGATGTGCATGAGTGAAAAGGGCGGTACATCTATTTGAGAGCATCCCAAATGAGGTCCATTCATATTATGGAAGTGCACTGGGAAATAAAGAACAGGACTACCCCTTTGTTTATTTATTATGAAGAGGTATGAGAAAAATGCAATTTTCAAAGAAAGAGAACTGCTGAGAATGTAGTACCTTCTCAAAGAAAGCTATATTTGGTTAAGGTGAGAAGCTAGAGGAAGCCACAGAGGGCAGGGTTACAAATCAAAAGACTTCTGCAATGGTGGAGGTAGTATGCAGAAGGGTTCCTTAAAATACAGGGATCCGTGTAAGATGAGGAGGTAAGGTGGAGTAGGATTGAGGTGGAATGAATTGAAAGATGGAAACGAAAAAGGAAGGCAGTAGGGGAAGAGGGGAGTTAATTTGGGGTATGGATAACAGGGAAGGAAATAGGTAACCTGAGAAGCTTGGTAGAGGCACTTACCACTTGCATGGGAAGGGAAATATGCAGACGGTCCTGTTGCTAAAGGAAGCTAGAGGATTTAGGAGAAGGGGTTTGGCACACTGGCCTGTGTCACCCATCCCTCCCTGACAACACACTACACAGACAAATTGAGTGCACTGTTGCCATTTAGTATCATTCTCCCCCCACGACTGGTGGAAGCTAAGAAGATGAAGTTCAGGGTGCTGATCTTTTTTTTTTCTCTGACTTTTCTTATGTGAATACTTATCCCTAGTTTCTTTTTCTTCCCCTCCCTCCTTTGCTCCCTTCCTCCCTTCCTTTCTTCCTTCCTTCCTTTTTTTTTTTTTCTTTTTTCTTTTTAAATGAGACAGGGTCTTGCTGTGTTGCTCAGGCTGGAGTGCAGCAGTGCTATCATTACTCACACAGCCTTAACTTCCCAGGCCCAAGCAATCCTCCCACCTCAGCCTCCTCAGTAGCTGGGACCACAGGCATGTGTCACAACGCCCAGTTATTTTGAAAAGTTTTTGTAGAGATGGGTCTCCCTATGTTACCCAGGCAGGTCTCAGACTCCCTCCTCAGCCTCCCAAAGTGCTGAGATTACAATCATGAGCCACTGCACCCAGCTCTTTTCTTCTTGCTTCTTTACCTACTTTGCATAGGAATTGGGTAGATGAGGGTAGACTCAGGAAGTGAGAGTGAAATTTAAGAAAGAAAATCAGTAAAATGAAAAGCTGAAAAATAAAAAAGTTTACTTCTAAATGTATGTACGCAACTCAGGTTGGGGGACTAGCATGTAAATACAAATAAAAACGGAGTTAAGTATGCTTATTTATTGAATCCTGTTGTGAGAACTTAAGAGGAAAAGAAACTAAGGAAAATCTGAAATTTTCCTCTTGGACCTGAGGAAGGTCCAAGAAAAAACAATGTGGAAGTGAAGTCAGAGAGATAACATCAGGACATTGGACATCAGGAGGAACTTTCAGGTCTGATTCTAGTGCCAAGGAAGCCATGAACCAAGGAAGCCATGCTCTTTCCTGGAGCTTTTCAGCATAGGAGAGTTACTCCTCTGCCAGCGCTGGGGAAGGGGTAACTTTCCCATACCCCAGGTGAAGGAGCTTTCCTTTCAGGGCCTTCCTGCTAGACAGACTGTGCCGGGGCCAGCCTGGTTCTCCCAAGTGCCCTCACCATGGCCTCCTTCATTTCCTTGTAATGATGGGGTTGCACATGGGGGTAATGATGGTGTACAGGAGGGAGAAAGGTTTGTCTCCGTCAGGCCCGTGTGTGCTGTGGGGGTTCATGTAAGAGAATGAGGTGTAGAGAAAGATGACCACAGTCAGGTGAGAGGCACAAGTAGATAAAGTCTTCCCCCGACCTGAGGAGGAGGCTCTGCTGAGGATGGTGGCAAGGATGCACACATAGGAAGTGACAATGAGCACCATGGGGCTGAGCAGCACCACGATGGCATCGGCAAAGATTGCCCTCAGACTAAACTGAGGGTCCCCACAAGAGAGGCCGATCACCATGGGGGCCTCACAGAAGAAGTTTTCTATGTGGTTGTCTCTGCAGAAGGGCTCTCGGAATGAAACATACTCGAGAAAGATGCCATTGATCAGTCCAAAGAACCAGGCAGTTCCCACAAGCCTGAGACAGACCTTCTAGCTTATGCTCTGGACATAGCTAAGTGGGTAGCAGATAGCAACGTAACGGTCATAGGCCATAAAAGCCGAGAGGATGCACTCGTCCACACCAGCACAGAAGACAAAGTACATCTGGGTCATGCAAGATACAAAGGAGACAGCGTGGTTCCTGACCACGAGGTAAATCAACATCTGTGGGATGGTAGTAGTGATGAAGCAGACATCCAGGAGAGACAGGTGGCTGAGGAAGAAGTACATGGGGCTGTTGAGCTTGGGGTCTGTTCAGGTGATAAAGATGTTGAGGCCATTCATGGCCATGGTGAGACTGTAGAGGGCCAAGAAGAGGGCAAAGAGCAATGCTCATGTGGAAGTGGAGCTCTGCTGAAAGCCCACGAGGATAAATTCTGTCACTGTGCTGCCATTCCTTAGCATCTGGGGCCTGCTTGAGGAGGGAAGATGGGAAAAGCACAAGGATATAGCTGTGGGGTAACAGAAGGTACCAACTTGGTCCCAGAAGCCCAGTTATAAAACAGGATAGATGAATGGTGGTCATCCTTTTGGAACTTAGTAAACTCTAGTAATTTGGCAGTGTTATGGGGTGGTAAAAATGCCAGGGTCACCACAGGCTGCATACATAGAATCATAATATCAAAACATGAAGGAAGTGCTGGTTGTAATGTGCTTTACTCTGGTTTGATCAGGCATCAAGTGAAGTATTGCATCTGCTCCAGAACCCTCAATATTGAAGGATTAGCCACTAACCAGGATGTGTTCAGAGGTGAAAAAATAAAATAATTGGGTCTGGGGCCCATGCCAAATGAGGAAAAGTTTTAGGAATTGAAGAATGGAGTGTGTGAGGGAAAGGGATGGTGGCTATCAGCTTATAGAAGATTGTATTTAGGAAATACTTGACCTATTTGAAGGTGTATTTTTCTAGAAGAAAAAAATGCTGAATCTCTGTGTGCCTAATTTTTTTTTTTTTTTTTTTTTTTTTTGAGACGGAGTCTCGCTCTATCACCCAGGCTGGAGTGCAGTGGCATGATCTCGGCTCACTGCAAGCTCCGCCTCCCGGGTTCACGCCATTCTCCTGCCTCAGCCTCCTGAGTAGCTGGGACTACAGGCGCCCGCCACCGCGCCTGGCTAATTTTTTGTATTTTTAGTAGAGACGGGGTTTCACCGTGGTCTCGATCTCCTGACCTTGTGATCTGCCCGCCTCGGCCTCCCAAAGTGCTGGGATTACAGGCGTGAGCCACCGCGCCCGGCTGCCCAACATCACACTGGGGCCTATCATGGGGAGGGGGGAGGGGGGAGGGATTGCACTGGGAGTTATACCTGATGTGAATGACGAGTTGATGGGTGCAGCACACCAACATGGCACAGGTATACATATGTAACAAACCTGCACGTTGTGCACATGTACCCTACAACTTAAAGTATAATAATAATAAATAAATAATTTAAAAAAAAATGATGAATGGGTTGAAGTTTCAGGGAAAATAAAAACATTCTAATCCTCAGGATTGTCCCTCAGCTAACAGTGATTTGCACCTTTTCTGGAGACATGTCAAGCTCTTCCCAGTCACCCACCTATTTCCAGACTCACTCGCCCAGCAGTTGCTGCTGCTACCGCAGCCACCCATGCTGTGCGTGCTGGAGCTGGGGACTGGGTGGGCGCTCATGCATGCCTTCCTAACAGGAGACAGTTTTCCTCCTGGGGTTGGAATTTACGGTTACACACAATTAGGTGGAAAGGATCCAACTATCCCTGTGTGAAAAGGGAAGCTATGAGCAGGGCATATATTTAACCTTTCTGGAATGGACCTTCAGAGAACTTTCAGCTGTCCCTTTGTCTCTGGCAATAACTCTTGTTCTTTTTCCATTTTCAGAGAATGAGCAGTCACAATTCTTATGCTCTTATCTCTCTATTGTAACTTTTAGGAAGTTGTTATGTTCATATTAAGTCTGTCTTATGCTTTTCATCTTGTTTTGGGGTTAGGATGTATCAGATCCCTTCCCTTCAGATGCTTATACTTTTTTTTTTTTTTTAACTTAATTATAAAGACAGGTGCTCACTATGTTGCCTATGCTGGTCTTGAACTTGTGGCTTTAAGTGATTCTCCTGCCTTGGCCTCCGAAAGTGCTGGGATTACAAGCGTGAGCCACTGCACCCAGCCTCCTCACCTTCAGATGCCTATAGATGATAACTATATTCCTGCTTAACTTTCAGTTCTGCGAGCCATTTCTCTTCATTTTCTCCTCTCCTACTCCCTTTTCTATACACTCTCACTCTACACTCTGTTAGTCTTTTTTCCTTTTTCAATCTACTTCCAATCCTCATTCTTCTCCCTCTCCTTTTCCCATTTGTGGTGATGGTTGCCTGCCGTTTATCTTACTCTGGTCAAACTCCCCTGTCTTCTCCATGTCTCTCAATCTCACATATTCTCGATCTGGATTTAGAGCTACCTACCCTCTCACTGCCACTCCTTGCAGCTCTACATTCCCTCCAGTTGTGATTTGATGCTAGGTCAAGGTAGTGACTGGGCAGTAGGCTACTCCCATCATCTTTACTTTGGGATACTTTTCTTGTGCCTAGGACTTCTCTTGGGGGCCCAGAAAAGGAAGAGAAGGGCAGAAAGCACTGTTTAAGATGTTTCTTGGAAGCCTGTGCTCAGTGGACATGTTGGGGCTTAGGTCACAGTCTGGGCAAAACAAGTCAGTGAGCTACACTCCAGAGAAGCCTGGGATTTGTCTAAGAAGAAACTGAGATTTGACCTGAGGAATTACTAGGCCCTACTGGAGGATAAATGCTTGCCTGTGGTTTATTGTGCCAGAAAGAATTCTGTGATACCCAGCATTTAGCGCCTTGTTAGCTACCATTAGAGGTTAATCGGTGAAGGATTTGTCTAAATAAATGGGACAATATCATGGAAATCACATCCTACCTCATTCTGTTTCTTGGCTGATAATGATGTTTGTCACTGAATCAAGTAATGAGTAACAGAAAACATCTCATAGTGTTTGAAGAGAAGCTGGTCCAGGTAGGATCATCTGACCTGGCCGGCCACTCTGGAAGAGAAGGTGTGTCTGATGACTTTGTTCTTTTATACTTTTAGAGATGAATGTCTACTTAAATGACATTGATAAGTTGCATGTGTATACACTTTATAGTATAGGTGTGAAAACTTACATGCCCCTTGAAGGAGTGAAAGATGTGCCATCCCCAAATATGCCAGACTGGTATATTATTATTATTTTGAGATGCAGTCTTGCCCTGTCACCCAGGCTGGAGTGCATTGGCATGATCTCGGCTCACTGCAACCTCTGCCTCCTGGGTTCAAGCAATTCTTCTGCCTCAGCCTCCCAAGTAGCTGGGATTAAAGGCACGTGCCACCATGCCCAGCTAATTTTTTGTATCTTTAGTAGAGACGGGGTTTCACCCTGTTGGCCAGGCTTTCTCGAACTCCTGACCTCATGATCCGCCTGCCTTGGCCTCCCAAATATTGATTATTTTGAGTTAAACACATTGAAGGCCAGGTGTGGTGGCTCACTCCTGTAATCACAGCACTCTGGGAAGCCGAGGCAGGCAGATCACCTGAGGTCGGGAGTTCGAGACCAGCCTCACCAACATGGAGAAACCCCGTCTGTACTAAAAATTAGCTGGGTGTGGTGGTGCATGCCTGTAATCCCAGCTACTCAGGAGGCTGAGGCAGAAGAATCGCTTGAACCCAGGAGGCGGAGGTTGTGGTGAGCTGAGATTGCGCCACTGCACTCCAGCCTGGATGACAGAGCAAGACTCCATCTCAAAAAAAAAAAAAAAAAAAAAAAGGAAAAAGTTGTAGTCTCAGAGCTGACCTGTCTCTTACATCGAGCCATAAAGATTCCACTGGCAGGGGTACTTTCTTCATACCAGGGTGAAAAAATAGCCCTTATCACCAGAGAGTTAAAGACTACAATAAACCTAAATAAACATACTGAACAAAGTAACCCCACCTTCCACCTGCTTCACACGCCCTCCCATATATCTCCTAGTGACTCTCCTAAAACATTTTACTGCCTCTAGCCAGATTTTCTTTGTCCTGTCATTTCTTCTCAAAATCATTGTTCTTTGTCTAAAACAATACAAAACGCCTTGCTTTGACCACTCTCTTGTCAAGATCCTCATGTATATATAAAACTAATATAATTTGTATACTTTTATTAATCTGCTTAGTGTCAATTTGGTTTCTAAATCCAGCTAAAGAGCTCACTAAGATCTAAAAGGAGGGTTAAAGGTGATCTCTGACTCCATGACACCCCATATACCGTTTGCTAAAAATCTCATTCTGCCCCATCTTTTTCAGATGGTATATTTGGACCTTCTCAGATTTTAAAAATTCTGTCTCGGTGCTAATGAATTGAATTCTAGCACCTTGACTTGAAAATGACATTCCCCCCGTTAGTTGAAGAAACACCAGCAAGAAAATAAAAACACTCATGTCTTTATTCCTGTAACAGCAGATAAACACATGTCATTCTGTAACATAAAATTTGTCCTTGCACATATTATTATTTTTTGTCACGAGACTGGAGTGCAGTGGCATGATCTCGGCTCACTGCAACCTCCACCTCCTGGGTTCAAGCGATTCTCCTGCCTCAGCCTCCCGAGTAGCTGGGACTACAGGTGTGTGCAACCACGCCCAGCTAATTTTTGTATTTTTAGTAGAGACAGGGTTTCACCATGTTGGCCAGGATGGTCTTGATCTCTTGACCTTGTGATCTGCCCGCCTTGGCCTCCCGAAGTGCTGGAATTACAGGCGTGAGCCACCACACCATTTCTAACAAAGAATCGTTGAAGAATGGACTTCAGACATTGTTGCTAGGTCTTCTACAACAAATCTTGAACTCTAAAATGTAATTTTTATTGGTTGTCTTAATTCATGGCCATAGTAATATTTAAAAAGATATCTCTGTTTTCTGAAAGATATACAGTATATACTTATGAAATTTCTTTGTTAAACTGGAAGAGGATCTTTTTTTTTTTTTTTTTTTAATCACAGGTGCGTAGAGATAAAATAAAAAGTCAACCATGACTCCTTGGGTTTCCTATTTAAAGAGTTGAGGGTCTGTAATCTTTCTTAAATTAACAGTAGTTTACAAAGTAGCTCATATACATAACAACATTTGAGTCTCCATTTTGTTACTGTATCTAAATGATGTGATTTAATCTCAGTGAAGAACCTCTGATAAGATATGTTGGACTATGTAGCTGAACACAGTGTGGCAAGGAGAAAAAAAGAGGGAATTAATTTTCAGCTGTGGATCTAGAGTGGTGTCATGTTTGATTTAATTAACCTATGATTCTGACCCATATTAGAACCATCTGCAGGCAAAATCAAAATGGCCCAACAGTTCCAAGAGCCTCTCGAAACAGTGGTGATTGGTACTGGGGGAGC